TCTTTTCCCTCGGTCAGGTCTTTGGTACTAGCCATTTCAGCCCAGCAGTACCAATAGGGTATTTGGCTGGGTTTAATGTGTGTTCTAAGTGCTTTCAGGGTTTTATAATCTAAAATACTGCTATCAGGCCAAATTTGTCTACCCGTGTCATCCTGCAATAAAGCCCACTTTTTGCAAATTCGTTTTGCTTCTTTTTTATGCATTCCAGTCAGGACAGGCACTTGCCTTTCGTCCCAAGCCTCAAGTAATTTATCCAAGGGGGTCTCTTCCATTGCCCTCGAGCTACAACTTCCCATATTCCCTGCTTGATGAGGGGATTACTTTGGTTTAGCCGGGTTGCAGCTGTCAGTTTTCAGACAAAAAAGGTCTGGAAAGGACTCCGTTTTCCCTACACACGGAGTACGGGCCCCTTTCTTTTAGGGAAACTCAGCTGTCAGTTTTAAGACCCCCCCCCCCCAAAAAAAACGGGGATCTCGGAGGACACACCTGGTCCACTCACGCTTCTACTCCCCTCACTAGTAAGATTATAAATTTGAAGCAGTACTCACCTGCTTTCAAGCAGCTGTTGAGCGGAAAAGCCCAAGGACTCCCTTTACTACCCTATACCTTCCGGGCTGGGTCCGTGGATGTTGTCCCTGGACAAAGAAGGTCCATGCCAGCTGGGTTTGGATTCGTAGGCCCGGTCCGGTGGCAGGGTTGGCTGGGAAATCTTCGTGGTTGCCAGTTGTTGAAAGGTGTCAAAATGCCTTTCTTCCGAGGATTCGATTTTCCCGCTGAGAGAGCTCCGGCGCAAAGATACGGACAACTGCTTGAAAGCTGGATCTTTTTATTTTTCAGGAAGGCGGAGAACAGCGAGAAGTCTGTATTCCTGGGCTAGCTAGCTTCTTATGGTAAGCCCCTGGTTTTTTATACCCTTTTCTCCCTTTGTAAGCTGATTTTGTGTGAGTGTTTGTATTTGTGCCTAATGTTTCAAATCCTGTTTGAGTTTGTCTTTATTTCCATCGGAGGGCAAACTCCGCGGGGTGACCACATTGTATTATTGGTTTTCTGTAATCTCTTTTAGCTTTAAGATAGTTTTTCATATTTGTTTTGTGGCAATCTCCTGTCTGTCCCTTTTGTAATTTATATTTTGTGTCT